ACACGTTCAGAGGTGTCCTAGTTGAGAAAAGCTATTCAGGAGAAAAGGTTTCAGCCTAGTTGAAGGCAATAGATCCAGATCTAGACTGCAGTCTAGAACAGGGCTTTTCAACCTTTTCACCCATGGTACCACTTTTAAGATATGGTAACATCCGAGTACCACCAGTCTTCTAGCAAGGTGTCAAAACCTTGATGACCCAAAAAAAAAAAAGGAAAAAAACGTGATAAAGTACAGGTAGTCCTCGACTTACAACAGTTCACTTAGTGACTGTTCGAAGTTACAATGGCACTGAAAAAAGTGCCCCCCAAGCCACAGCCAAGCAAGACACCTGCCTGCCCGCCCAGCCGCGCTCTTCCTCCTGTCCGAGCTTTTCATTGTTGTGAGCATTTCTGTTGAGGATTGGCAGTGGGGGTGGGGTGGGGGGGTGTTTGGTTTTTATTCCCCCCATCTGCTGGGTGGTTTCAGCAGGTTTTGGTCACTTCACATGACCCTGGGACACTGTGACCGTCATAAATATAAATCAGTTGCCAAGCATCTGAATGTAAATCACAAGACCCTGGAGATGCTGCAACATTCCAGCTGATCGGCGCTTCTTCTGGGCTCAGCAGAAGTGCCAGGATCAGCGCCGAGCTCCAGCTGGAGCCTGGCGGTGATCCTGGCACTTCCGCTGAGCCCTGACAGCCCTGCAGCTCCAGCCGTCTCTCGCTCAGGCTTGTGCGGTGCTGCCACCAGTTCAGCTCATTCTCCTCCCCCACTACCACTTTTCTAGGATGGTTGCGTACCACCTGCCAGGTGCCAATGTACCACAGGTGGTACCCGTACCACTGGTTGAAAAGCCCTAGATAATTAATTAACCAAGTCTAGATTAAATTAATAAAAGTCTAGATAATAAATTAACCAAGTAACAACATAATTTCAAGTATCAGAATCTTAGAGCTCAGAGTAGTTCATGACTGAATTAGCTTGGAATGTTTGTGTTTGTAAGAGTGTACTTATTCAGTGTTCGTTATGGAAAGGTTCGTGATATTGTAAGTAATAATTCAAATATCAGAATTACAGAGCTCAGTGATTTATGATTAGTTCCTTTGTGGCAGGGAAAGGATGTCATGTTGCAACTATTTAATAATTAAATTTACATTGCCTTGAAATCTTCGTGTTTGTGTTGTGTTTGAATAAGAATGTATTCATTCAGTGTTAGTTATGGAAAGATTGGTGATATTGTGCGGAAATGATATTCACATTGACTGGCACAGCTGTGTTTTTATTGTTTGCTTTCCATAATGACTAGGTTGCTGCTGTTTTTATATTATTACTGCTTTTGACATGGTTGTTTTGCTCATAATCATGTTCCTAAACTGCTTTTGAAGTAACCATAGAAGCTGCAATAAAATAGAACAAAATGAATGAAGATCTCACTGGAAGCGAGGGTGATTTAATTATTTTTTTAAAAAAAAGGTCTAATGAACATTTGCAAAAGGCTTAAGAATGCGCAATTAACACAATCCAAATGCGAAAGCAACAGATTCACATCTAGGAAAAATGCTCAGTGCTCAGTTTATTTGTAAAATGTCTCTCTTTTGCATATCTCCCTTTAAGAAACGGAATGTAAGAGAAAACTCCGTAGGCAGATTTGGCTTCCCCAAGCTGCAAGTTAATTTATTGAGCTAACCTAGCCAGACTGGTGGCACTTTTCAAGGCAGTGCTTCATTCTGGGCCTTTAAGTAGCTGACAGATCAGTAAGGAAGGACTTCCCCAAAATAATTGAGGCACCTGATGTACTTTTCCTTCCATGACCCAGAACAAACAGCTGTAAAGTTTCTTAGTTTTGACTTTTGCTGTTTTTGTGCTCTAACAGTTTGATTGATTCCAAGAAGGTCCAATAAAGAATAACAGCAAAACAAGGGAAGATTTTTTTTCAGTGTTCTCTTCCCCCCCCCAGCTGCCTCTCCCCCCCCCCTCCGCGCCCCTCCTCCCAAAAAAGAACAGGCTTAATCCAAAGTAATTATTTATGTCCTGGGTCCATGGATAGAAAGAGGCAGGACTTGCTGGAATACACTGAGTTCAGCAGACCTGCACAAATTTTGACTTGCTAAGTGGGACATATGGAGGCAGCCTTTGGGGAACACACTAAACCTGTTTCTTGAATAACTCCTGTTCTTCTGGGTTTGTAAAATACACTGAGCTGTAAATTAACCTACTGAGCTGGAGCTTTGTACAAAAGCTCTAAGCAACAAGCTGAAGAAATCAAGTTTAAATCTGGCTAGACATGCCATGTCATTAGGAATGAACAAATGATCTGATGTTGCTATATTGTGCTGCAAAATATAAAATATAAGGTGTCTTCCATGCATTTATCTTATCACAATATGTAGCCAAAACGGGCCAACTTGCCACACCCAACTTGCTGTGGGACAACTCGCCTGGGACAATTCAACAAATACAAAAGCTAAATTAATTTCAGCAGAACTGTGGCCTATAATAATAAAATAAAGATTGATTAGTGATTGATTGTGTGCCATCAAGTAGCCAACATATAGATAGATCTTCTCCAGGAGGTTGCTGGGAGGAGGTTTTGAAGTATTTCTAGCAGGACTACTAGATTCTGCAACAGCTTTGTTCCTTATGCAATCCGACTTGTAAATTCGCAGATTCTACTCGACTCTACTCTACTCTACTCTACTCTACTCTACTCTACTCTACTCTACTCTACTCTACTTACTCTATTCTACTCTACTCTACTCTACTCTATTCTATTCTATATCCTATTGTTTATTCTATTCTACTCTACTCTACTCTACTCTACTCTACTCTACTCTACTCTACTCCCTACTCTACTCTACTCCCTTCAAGTCCAATGGTGCACCGATCCACCTTGTGGCTAGTTGGCTTCTTTGTCTTTTTCATTCCACCTTTCCCAGACTAGCACCTAGAGAGCTGGATAGAATAGAATATGGACTGGAAGGGGCCAGATGCCTAATCAGATGCAACATGGCATCCTTCTTGTTCTTTAGAAGTGATGCAATTTATTCATATCAGTAGAGTCCAAAGCCAACCAAAAGATCTGAAATTGTGCTAACTTTCCTTTAGTTTATCTTTAATCAATCAATCAGAATAGAACTGAGAGGGACCTTGGAGGTCTTCTATCCAACCCCCTGCTCAAGCAGGAGAACCTGTACCATTTCAGACAGGTGACTGTCCAGTCTCTTCTTAAAAACCTCCAGTGATGAAGCACCTACAACTTCTGAAGGCAAGCAGTTCCACTGGTTAATTGTCCTCACTGTTAGGAAGTTTCTCCTTAATTCCAGGTCTTTCTATAATTCATCCAGCCTTGGTCATTTGTGCTGGATTAAACTGAGGATTAGTTTATTCTATGATCCATTCATTTTCTCCGTGATCAAGAAACTAATTGTGGTGGATATAACAGGCTGGACAGAAAAAAAAAATCCCAGTGGTAAAATGTTTGGAGAATTTCATTTGTATTTGGGGAAAAAAAATTCATGCAATTGCTTCTACCTTCTCCGCCTTCATTCCCCATCTGACCAGAACTAAATTGGAGAATTTTGAAAGATGATTTCTATACTTTTTATGGGCCTTCCTAGAAATCCAATAATGTATGACTTGGTATATTAAATATACTTTATTGTTTGGTTCAGGTTGACCCCCATTCTGTTCTCCACTCATGCTCTTAAGCCAATTCTACTTTAATATCAACTTACAGTATGCCTCATTAGGTATCTGGATATGAAGCCAGCTGAGCTCCTGCTGGTTCTTATAGTGAAATTTCCGCTCACTGAAAAAAACATGTTTTTTCTGAACCAGTTTTGATTTTCTGATCTAATGGGATGCTTTCTTGTGGACACAATCGGAATAGAGCTGGAAGGGATCTTGGAGGTCTTCTAGTCCAACCCCCTGCTCAGACAGGAAACCCTAACCCTTTCAGACTAACAGCTTTCCAATCTCTTCTTAAAAACCTCCAGTTCTGGAGCGCCTGCAATTTCTGTCCGCAAGCCGTTCCACTGGTTGATTGTCCTGACTGTTAGGAAGTTGCTCCTTAATCTCAGGTTGCTTCTCTCTGTGATTAGTTTCCATCCATGGTTTCTTGTCCTGCCTTCTGATCCCTTCCAATGCTGTTATTCTGTTAAGATGTTTCACTTCTCATCCAAGAAGCTTCGTTGGTTCTAGCAGGATGAAAAAAAAAACAATGAAGCTTCTTGGATGAGATGCAAAATGTCATCTTTTTCTTCCTCAAGGAAAAAACAGTCCAGTTGCCTTTTGAAAAAGGCACCTTTGAGACAATTATGACCTGGATGGCTGAGAATCTCCACAGGCATTTTATATAACCTGGCTCATCTTATTAAGCTATAATATCATTTGCTTGGGCATAGCACGTTACGTGAATCAAGCAATTATGTTTTGGCAACCTGGTCTTTAGATTTATTGCCTTGTGTGAACCCAACCAATCAGTACCACTTGTGGGCTCATTATTTCCCCTTTTCCCACGTCTCACTCACCTTATTGCCATGCTCCCGTGATGGATTAAAACCCAGTTTCCATTCTATCTGAATTGGAAAAAATGTTCTGACTAAACCATTGTTGCAAGTATAGTTTGTGCCCTCCATAAGCCAATCTCCTTGTTCAGATGCATCAGAAAACTGTGATTTAATAAACCTTAGCAGCAACAGGCAGCTGCTAATTAGGAGGTGACAATGTCCAGTTTCCAGCTGTGACCAAACACCAATTTTGAACATTGTCACCTCTTAATTTAAAGTCCGTATTGGCTGTAGTAGGCAGCGCATCCAAAATATTGAAATGCAAAGTATTTTTCTTCCTTGCCAGCTAGAGAAGGTGAAATCCTAAATACGTTGTTGTAAAATATTGTTGTCTGTCTAGGTGCTTGATACGGACTGAAGCACCTCCTGCTAAATTGTCCTTGGTTGTTGTTTTGCTCATCCTAGCAAAAATACTAATTCGCTATCCTCTATTTGTATTTCAGGAAAAGCATGACCACTTTACTACTAGCATTTGTGTGTTTGCGTGTCATCGCTGCAGCCACCTCTGTGGAAGTTTTAGGTATGTCACACCAGGGGTTCACCTTTAGTATGAACTGTAAAGAGAAAAACAGAAGCAATTCTGTTGCCTTTCTGGGAAGTAATTGACAATGTAAAAGTATTCTCATGCTGCTGCTTCTACATTCTAAGTTATCAGAGTTTCCATCTTCTGATATTGAACAGCTTCTGAAACAAGAAGGAATGTCATACGACCTTCCACGTGTTGGTAGCTGCAATCTCCATCATCCTGTACTATTAAGCATATTGGTTGAGTTTATGGAAGTTGTGGTTTAGCTACTATTGTACATCCAGAAGATTCCATGTCCTCTGCCCTTTTCTTAAGAACTCTCTCAGCCTTTTACAGATGTGTACACTTATGGTTAAAATCACCATGGCAGAAACTAAAGAAGAAGGATAAAATATAGTAGAGAAACAATAACTAAAATAACAATAAGTGGGCTCGGTCCCTAAATGCTCTACAAAAGAGCTCTGTTTTAAGTCTTCTTCTCTTTTTTTTGCTGAAGGCCATTAGAGAGAGAGCCAAACTAATGTCAACTGGGAGGCCATTCTAAAGGGGCAGCACTGCCACAAAGCAGTGACTTCCCAGAATTGAAGAACCACAATCCCTTTCACCTCCTGGAAGTGAGGAACCACAAGCTGCTTCTTCTGGAATAATTGTGTGGCTCCAGCTGATTCTAACTGGAGAAAGCCGTCTTGAAAGCAGCCAAGTGCCAAGCCATAGCACTTGATTGAAACCAGTACTTTAAATTGAACTTAGAAGCTTGTTGGCAACTAATGTAGGGTTGTAGCACATGCATAATGTGCTCCCAATGACACAAATTAGGCTGCTGCAATCTGGACCCGCTGCAGCTTCCAAGTAGGCTTTTTTAAACAGTCCCAAGCAGAGTAAGCTGGAGAGGGCTAGTAGGATAATGGGAAGGGCATGAGCCCTCAAGCAGGAGAGCCTATACAGTCACAGACAGGTGAATGCCTAATCTCTTCTTAAAAATCCCCAGTGATGGAGCTCCCATGATTTCTGGAGGCAAGCTGTTCCACCAGTTCTTTTTAAAAGTTGTGTTAATGTTTGACAAATTGATGAAAGCTGCATATTTCTGCCGAGTAGCCCCACAGAGAGATTGGGCAGCAAATAAATTTAACAAACAAACATTCCACTTGTTTTCTGCTTTAAACTGATCAAAAAATCATACCACTCTGAGTTATGTCCAAGGGCTGGCCACGTTTGCCAAAAGGACACAGGCTGTTCTTCCATGGGCCTGGTTTGGAAATGATTCTGTCTGTTCAACAAGGATGATCCTGTGATACTGATATTTTGTTCTTCTTTTCTCCTTTTCTCTTGGGGATCAGTAGACCACAGCGCCACGCTCAGTGTGAGCATACCTTTACGTTCTCCCCTGCGTGTTCCCTTGGGAAGAACGTTGACCATTCCCTGCTACTTTATCGACACTTTGGGGCCAGTCACCACAGCTCCCAACACCCCACCAGTGTCCCCAAGAATCAAATGGAGCAAAGTATCAGAAGACAAAGAAGTTGTCCTTCTAGTGGCCATGGATGGGCAGGTAAGGATCAACACTGCCTACCAGGAGTTTATCTCTCTACCCAATTATCCTTCCATACCAACTGATGCTACTTTGGAAATCAAGACACTCCGGTCCAACGATACTGGGATCTACCGCTGTGAAGTAATTCATGGTATCGAGGACAGCCAGGACATGGTGGAGGTGAAAGTTAAAGGTGAGAAAGCAAATCTTCTTTACTGTTTTGGAGCTGAGTTTTGATTCGGGATGTGCTGAAAATTTCCCCTCCATTTTTATGAGGGGTCCTTCGTGCTGACATTGGTTGTTTTCATCAGTGTTAGCAATGATGACCATTACCTGGTTTGGATAATGAAACATTTGCAAAAACACAACCAAGCTCAGAGAGCGCCAAGGACCTTTCATTTCAACCCTGATTTCATTTCAACGATTCTTCTTTATTGGTACCTCCATTTTTATTCCTACTAGTGCTCCTTGATTTCTGAAGAAAGAGGATATGTTTAATTATGAATCAGAAGACTAAGTTATATGTCAGAAAGCATGAACCAGTGTCATTTAGAATGCTCTGAGTGAACATTGGTGGTTGTTATGTGTTATGCTTTAGTGATAATAAAAGATGTACAAAGGTACCATATTCTCTGATCCAGCATGATAAAATATTCTGCTAAGTAGCCTGAATGGATGGATGGGAATGAGATGAGGTAGTAGAGAGAACAATGAGTCATGAACAAGAATAGTGACTGGGGGAATATCTGCATTGAGTCTGTTTACAGTGAACGTGTATTCGTGTGAATGTGTGACAAAGAAGCAAATAGAAATATAAACAAATTTATTGTTTATTATGAAGGTTAGAAGGTTATAGTTTTTGTTTGGCAACATTCTGTCTATTGGGTATAAGGATCAGATTCAATTGGATCTCACTGTCTTGTCTCTTGACTTGGGCCTGACATCAATCTTGCCAAATTAAAGTATAACCTTCTAAGCTACTAGATATATCCTGAAAGATTCTAGAGTGTACTCACCCTGAACTTCTTTCCCCTCCTGCTTCCATCTTGGGATTGCACAGTCCCAGGTCTCTATCTGGGAATGGTGTGTGTGGGTGTGTGTGGGGGTGTGTGGGTGGGTGTGCGCACGCCCACTCCTGTGCTTCCTCCTCTGAGTCGGCCACGGAGTCCTCCGGTGGCCGACAGACCACAACAGTGGGTTGGTTCAGTAGCCAAGGGAAGCCTGTTGTGTAAACTGAACCAATGTGTTTTCCAGGGATCGTGTTCCATTACAGAGCCATCTCTACCCGCTACACTTTAAACTTTGAGAAGGCAAAGCAGGCATGCATCCAGAACAGTGCAGTCATTGCAACTCCTGAGCAGCTCCAAGCTGCCTATGATGATGGCTTTGACCAGTGTGATGCTGGTTGGTTGTCTGATCAAACAGTCAGGTAAGCAATTGCCAAGGGGGGGTTGTATACCATTTCCTCCAACTCATCTGTCAGATGCAAAGAACTGGGACCACACGTTAAGATCCAGTTAAAATGATATATTGCTCATGTCTGTATACAAGAATCTAGTCAACAAACAATCACCACTACATTGGTGCTAGATAAAGAGTCAGTAGAATTCAAGAAGAGTTGGACTTAGAACCATTTGTGGCAACATAATGACTCTAGGCTGATTCCATTCTTGACGCCACTACCTGGCTCTTCCTGTTCTTCTCCTACACCATCTGGGTAAACTAAAATTCATTTCCAATGTTCCCCAGCCAGAGTAGTCGGTGTGGAGAGACTAATCATGGTATAATATTAAGTGGTGCTGTGGATCACCAATTAGAGAAGGGGTAGGAAATGACGTGACTGGGCTATCTCCCGCCTGCTCATTTAATGAGAATTGAAGGCTTTATAGCAGGTGAGAGAATCGGGTTTCTCTCTCCACACAATTCTGCTGGCCTGGATAATATTAGTGGAAACTCAGGAAAGAAAAGTAAAAATTTTAAAAGCATGGGTGCACACCTTCAGTGCAGGTGTCACTGAACTACTTCTCCCAGCTTCCCTCACAGATTGGCCTGCTTGCTGTGAGTTGCAGTTAAGTGACTTCCAGATGGTTAAGTTTTGTACAACTATGCAGCCAGGCAGAGATGGGCAACTTGAGGTCTCATTACTGAGTTTTACAGTTCCAGAATCCAGTTGTCATGGTTTCCTATCCATTGAACTACGGTAAAAGCCGCAGGAAAGGCTTAACTGTTGAAAAAAAAAACCAAAATATCTAAAAGTCTCTCCCTCTCAAATAAATAAAAAAAAATCTGGGCCTACCCACATGACTCAATCATCACTGTCCTAGGTGCCTTGACACGTTACAGTGAAAACATCCCCCATTTGTAAGTCTGTCCCCTTCAGCTGTAATCCCAGTTCTTTCTGTTTCTCTGCAGAGGCAGAAAAAACAATCACAGCTTGTAATCCCATTTTTTATATATATATAAGAGAGAAACATTTCTATCAGAGCTTGGAACAAGAGTTTTCCCGAGGAAGAAATTTCTTATTTTTATGAGCAAACATTTATGGGATGGACAATTAAAAAGAAAAAAGAAAATGAAGATTGAAAACAGTGAGAAGAAGCCAGAGAACTGAGTGGTGGAACTCAGTGGTCCACCAAGTGGAGGTTCTCCATGTTAGTTGTCCAGTTAACATAAAAGCTATAGTTCTGAATGCTCAATCGTCTTTTTGATTTTTCTAGAAATTATTTCTATCCCAGAATATACTATTTCCCTTCTCCGTCCTTTTCCCTTGAAGATAAATTTTCCTTCCCCTAACTCTTTTATTAAACTAGGTACCCAATGCACCATCCTCGAGAAGGTTGTTATGGTGACAAGGATGGATTTCCTGGAGTGAGAACATATGGTATTCGAGATACAGATGAGACATACGATGTCTATTGTTACGCAGAGGAAATGGAAGGTAATAGTTCCTTGTTATACTTAACACACTTCTTATTCTTCAGTTAGAAGGCATTAATGATAGCTTGTGCAGGGTTTAAAACATTGCTCAATGATTTAAGCAGCAAAATAAACACATGGATTTGATCTGCTTCGAGAGGCTTTTTAAGGTTATGAGCTCTCAACCCAATGTGTACAAATGTTATTAAATGGGAGTTCTTGTCCTCTAAAATATTGGAAAAATCCACAATACTCAGGAAGATGGATATTTTAATCAGCACAATTAAAGGCAAGAACAAAAATTAAGCTGCTCAAGGTCAATCAATGTGAGTACTGAGAAGATCACTTGAAGTAGTGGCAGAGCAGCTGTTAAGATCAACCAGTTTGATCAGATTCATCTTGTTCTTCTTTGTCCATTCCCCTTATCCATCCACAAATGCCTATTGAAGAGTTTCATAGAAACTCTTCTGTTCAAAACTAGAGTCACATCTTATCTAGATAATAACAATATCAAAACCTAATTTCTGGATGACGTCTCCAAAGAGCGATAGAGTTTGCCTTAAGAAGTTGTGGATATTCCAACACTGGAGGTTTTCAAGAAGAGATTTGACAACTATTTGTCCAAAATGGCAGAGGAATTCCTGTTTGAGCAGATAGAAGATCCCTTCCAACTCTTTTATTCTGTTCTATTTGTTTGTCAGAGTGGGAGAGAGGACAGGGAATTTTTGAAGGAACTGACCACCTTTTTCTGAATTCTGAAATTATTTTGGAAAATGAGCTGCCTCTAAAGTTAAAGAAAATGCTCTTTAGTAAGCATTAGGGGGTCTGTTAGTATCAAATAGATTTTACAAGTAAATCTGTGCTGTAATAACTGTACCGTCAACCCTATTCAGAACATTTTCTAGATTTATCAAAACTCTTATTTTCTTACTTTTTTTAAAATCCTGCACTCAAGAATCTGAAAATAGCAGATCTGCTACCCTGCTTCTAATTTAATCCTCTCAGCAACCCATGGAGATAAATTATGCCAAAATTGTAGGGGGTGGCTGGTGGGTTTTATAGCTTAATATTCTGGATTCATCTTTAGGACTGAATGAAAAGGTTGAACTTGCAGGTAGCAAACTTGGGGAGGAGGAAGCAATTTGCAGACTATTCCCAGGGGAGACATAATTCTCTTCTACGATGTAGCATCTGAGTAGTTAATGAAAATGTATTATAAGTGAAAGAAGGAACAAGCTGAGGAAGGAAAAATCTTAAGAGAAAAAGATGGAGGACGCCTGTTATTCTTTTCAAATGAATCCAACAGGGAATAACCTCAATCCTTATCCACGTTTTTCATTGTGCACCTGGCTAATAAAATGGGTGGGGTTGTCTTAAAATAATAGGGGATGTAATTTTTCCACGGTCCAGTTCTTAAGAAATCAAGAGTTCAAATTTCTATACGTTCATTCTCAGAAATGTGTTTTCTAACCCATTTTCACACACACACCCCAAGTGTTTTCCTCTGGACTTTTCAGTCCCTGTGCATAAGCAAAGATAATGGATGGAAAAGTCTAATGAAGCTTCTCAATGAATGGAAGGGGCACCATTTCAGGAGTTAATCCATGGCATAATTGTGATTGCAGGCAAAGTCTTCTATGCCACCTCCGCTGAGAAGTTCACCTTCTCAGAAGCAGCAGAGAAATGCCATAGTCTTGGTGGACGTTTGGCCACAACAGGAGAATTGTATCTGGCCTGGAAGGATGGGATGGATGTCTGCAGTGCTGGCTGGCTGGCAGACCGCAGTGTCCGTTATCCCATCAACAAACCAAGTCCCATCTGCGGTGGCAACCTGGTGGGAGTACGCACGGTGTATCTTTATGTCAACCAGACAGGGTATCCATACCCTCATTCCCGCTATGATGCCATTTGCTACACCGGTGAGTAGAAACAAAGACATTGAGCTACTTTTTTGTTTCTCCATTCTGTCTCAGTTTGGGCAGTTCTTTCTTCCAATATTTCATGGCATTTTTTTGCTTCCCGCCCTTTAAAAAAAAAATACACAGATGTGCCTTTCTCTTCCTCTCAAATAAGCATTTGAGGATAGTCCTGGGACAGCCTTTAAAAAGGCGGGTTCCCTATTGTGATTCGCTTTACCAAAGCAAATAACTTCACAGTTATCTTCTTTGTGCTTTAGGTGCTGACTTTCATGTCATCCATGAGAATGTCACAGATGACTCTGTCGACGAGCTGGGCAGTGGCTTCACCATCCAGACGTTCACGGAGTCAGATTTTGAGCTGGAGCTTCCACGCAACGCAACCGAAGAAGAAGCACGAGGAAGCATTGCAACCTTGGAACCTATAGACCTGACCACCACCACCTTGGAGGTGGATGAAGGCATTACAGAAGCTCCAGGTCTCTTTCCAACAGGTTTCACCGATGAGACAGAGAACAGGACTGAGATTGGGATCTGGGAGGAGCTAGAAAATTATACTGCCTCAACCCTGGATGCACTCTTCCCCACGGCTATCCCAGAAACAATGTCAGAGGAATATAGTTCATGGTCCACTGCCACAACAGAATCCGAATCAGCCTCACCGTTTACAGTAGAAGAGCAGATTGTGCCAGGGACAGCTGCTTCTGCTGTGGATCAAGTCCCTCAGAAACCCACTTCTCCCACAGGTAGAGAACCAAGGGTATCCTCTGTTTTTCAATGTGAAGCATCAAGCTAATTAATAGACAAAAATAATAGAGAATTCAAAAACAATCAGCAAAAGCACTGAAGTAATTAGTAGATCATTATCATCATCATCATCATCATAGCCCAGAGTGGCAAAGAGCCTATCAAGTGGCTTATCTGATTGGTTGTTGTAGCCAGGGAGGTGGGAGGGGGTTATTTTTTTTATTGTTTATTGGATTCGATTGTATGTTGGATTTTTATTTCTGTACGCTGCCCAGAGTCACTGAGAGTGAGTGAGTAGCCCAGTGGTGGGATTGAAATAGGTGAAGAACCGGTTCTCTGCATGGATGCCACTTCTGGAAGTCATTCTGGGCCTGGGCAACAAAAAATTAGCTACCGGTTCTGCCGAAGTGGTGCGAACCGGCTGAATCCCACCACTGGAGCAGCCATATAAATTTTGTTTAACAAATCAACATTATTCAAAAGCATGGCCAGAGAGAAAGATTTGGGCTCTTTGCTTGAAGGTTCAGACTGGGAGCGATGTCCGTGAGAATGCATTTCATGATTGGAAGAGAGATAGGAGATGATCCTGCCACGTGCATGGCAGAGAGAGCATTTCTGAGGCAGATATTTAACAAGTATGAAACCCTTGCGCTAAGCTATGGAAACAGCTTCCCCAAACTGCATCACCTCCTTGAGCATGTTGTGTGAACATGGTTTCAGGGCTGTCTTCCTCACCTCCAGAGCATCTTCTAATTTTCTCCATACTTTTTCCCTTCTTCTCTGACACTTTTCCTCTCTCCAGCTTTTCAACATAGGTGGACACACTGTAGAGCACACAGACAATCCTCTTGATCCTTTCATGAGACACAATCTCTGCTGAGTTTGGAAGGAGCGTGCTTTTAAACAAACCTTTTCTGAGTGTTTGCACCACACAGGAACTCTGCCGTCATCCCATGGGTCATGTGAATCAGATACCAAGAATTGTACGGCATACGGGAATAACTCCTAGCAAAAATATTTTATCTTCTTTTTCTTTCCTTAACTACCACCCGTGATTCCTATTTCTTTTTCAACCTACTTCCTACTTGTGTTGATTTCTCTGCAGGTGTCGTTTTTCATTACCGGCCATCCGCCAACAGATATTCCCTGACTTTTGTTGAAGCTCAGCAAGCTTGCCTAGATAATCATGCTGCTATTGCTACTCCAGAGCAACTACAGGCTGCCTATGAAGAAGGGTATGAGCAGTGTGATGCTGGCTGGCTAAGTGACCAGACAGTCAGGTAAGGTTTTGGGCTGATGGCTAAGGAAGGAACGTACCACGCAGAGGAATTTTCCTGTCTGCAGAACAGATTTTCCTGTCTATTTTAATCAGCCTCCGGGGAGCCCCATTAAGCAGGAGTACCACTAATTTCTATCGATTCTGTTATTGGGATGCCCAAATTTTTTCCCTTACGTTATCTATTGAGTATTGGTTCCAAAATCACGAGAATATATGGGGATTCTGCGTATAAGCTTGGGAGGGTCCCCATTGCTCCTCAAAAAGTTTCCACTGGACTAACTTTCAGTATAAAAACAGGGGCTGCATGGAACACACACAACCCAGATGCTAAACTAATCCATTTTTGCTAGGTCCTTGTGATGTCTTGGACCTTAGACTAGCCAAACTGGTTGAGCTTGCAGAAACTGGCAAGCTGTCCAAAAGACTAAACAGCATTTAAACTCTATGGTGTTGTGTATAAGCTACCAAGGTTATCTTAAGCGCCCCAGGTATTCCTGTTATGGGAGCCCAATCAAGGCTTAATTGACTGTGTCTAGTTGATCTGACTACAATTCAAATGTAATTAATCACATTTCATTTTGTCCTGGCATCCCCGAATGCAATTCTTGTATCTCACTTAAAAGCCAAAGCCTGTCCTGAGTTTGGAAAGGTTTGTGCACCTCGATCCGTCTTCTGTGATCCTAGAAAATGAGAAGGTTTAAGCCTTCTGTCTTATTTGCCCTTTTCTCTGGGCACAGAGATTGATTTCAATGGGAATTTCCATCAGGAGAGTTTCCACTGCAGATTAAAATAATACAATTGAGATTCAAGTTTATAAATTGAGTTGGATCTTACTCCAAGAGGTTCTTCCTGGAAAATGATGCTTGAAATTCTAAATAAACCCCTAATACTTTTGAAGCCTAAAACAAAGCTTTGAAGCACCGATCTGGGTCTCTCTCTTCACCTCAGAGTTATCGACTCGCCCATTTTTTTTCTCTCTCCAGAAAAATATTTACACTGAACTTGTCAGCTCACAGGAGAGTTTCAAATTCTTCAAACTGCAGTGCAGAAACTGCCAATGACGTAGTTTGCAAAGCTGAAAGGAAATGTGTTGTTCTAACATTTTCTTGATTACTAAGTACATTTTCTCTCCCCCACAAATTTGGAAGTCCGTTTCTGTTTGTTTTATCTGTTGTGTTAAATGTATAAGGCTGTTTAATGAATGGCAAACAACTCAAGGTAGTTCACAGTGGGTTTAAAGACATATATATAAAACAAAACAGAAATCAGGAATCATGACAACAGCACCCGCGGAGGAATACAAAGCTTACAATTAAGGAGCAAGGCAAATTTACAATGATTTTGAAATCATGCAAAGTGGTTGTCACATTCTTTTTAATGTCGTTCAACGAAGAGACTAAAGAGAGACTAAAATGGAAGATCTGTAACTTGAGCTGGCCACGAACAAGGAGTGTATATCGGAGGTGGTGACCCTTTGTGAACTGTATGCAACGAAATTTCATTTTGATGTATGCCGATTGGTGTACTTTCAAAGTGACAATAAAGTTGTTGTTGTTACTATTATTATTATTATTATTATTATTATTATTATTATTATTATTATTATTATTATTATTATTATTATTATTATTACCATGGTGTGCCAGCTGAGGAATCTAGTTCAGATCTGCCCATTGTGACCTCACCAGGTACATAGAGCTGAAAGCTTTGGGTGGTCTCTGGAATATTTCCAAAGGTTGTCAGCAAAACTACAACTTTTAACATTTTGTCCATTAAGTACACATGCAGAGGTCGTAAAATTTATTCAGTTCATTAAATATAAATTCATGAAATAGTTTTAGCCTGAGCTACTTTGGGAATATAGCTCCCAACACATTCCCAAAAACCTAAGTGCAATCCTTATATTGAAAACAATTACATGATCCTAGCCCGGGGGTCTGCAACCTTGACAACTTTAAGACTTGTGTTTTCAGACCCCTGTCCTAGCCTACCTAAAGCATTCCTCAGCTATTAGTGAAAAATTCTGAGATCTTTGATGAGATCCATCCTTGTTGGGCAGGTATCCCATTGTTGTTCCACGCAGTAAATGTGCAGGAGACAAGGAGAACTTCCCTGGAGTGCGATCCTATGGTATGCGCCCAGCATCAGAAAAGTTTGATGCCTACTGTTACATTGAAAGACTGAAAGGTATGTTTACATTTATGGGATCTTCTGGAGAAGTGCTTTATTCATCTCTGGTGTAGTCATGGAAATACGGCTAGATGACATTTTAGTTTCAATCTCTAAAGGTGAAGATTGTAGGTGTCTACCACATCTTAAGATGCTGACGGCTGAAGTGCTCTTGTAGGTGTGAGACAAAAAAACATTCTGCAGAGCAGGAATTTGACCTGCGCAAAGATTAGTGAAGCAAGCTTCATTGCGGAGAGAATATTTATTTACAGGAAAAGCATTGTACCGATAGACACAGCCTAGACCCCAGCTAACCACAGCCCAGTAGGAAGAGAATCAAAAGCATGAGCTTTGTGGCACATGTGTCCTGGAAGAAAGAAAGACTGAAGGAAGTGACTTCAGATCAGCAATCACTTAGACCAGCATTTCCTAACCTTGGCAACTTCAAGACACGTGGACTTCAACTCCCAAAATTCTCCAACCAGAATCCTAAGAGTTGAAGTCCAGATATTTTAAAAGTTGGTCAAGAAACACTGACTAAGATAAAGAGGAAGTGAAAGATGAGATAAAAAGGAAATACATAATCTTTACACCCCATTGTTGTCAGTAGGTCAGGAAGTGTTCATAAATCAGGGCCATTGGATCTGGACCTCCAGCAAAAGGAACGGCATCCATTTATGGGATTTTTCATTTGCTTGGAGGTGTTATGGATAGGTGCTAGATCCAGGCTCCGTAGGGTTTGGGAGAAATTGAACCCCAAGTGCTGCATAGCTCTAATGGAGGTAGGACCTCATCACCGTTCATCATTTTTCTATAGGCGAGGTCTTCTTTGCAACTCAGACAGCACAATTCACCTTCCTGGAAGCCCAGAGACACTGTGAGAGTCAAAATGCAACCATGGCTTCCACTGGACAACTCTACGCTGCCTGGAAGCTGGGCCAAGATATCTGCCAGGCCGGCTGGTTGGCTGATGGCAGCCTCCGATATCCCATCGTTAATCCCCGCCCTACCTGCGGTGGAGACAAGCCTGGTGTGAGAACGATTTACTTGTACCCCAATCAGACAGGATTCCCTGACCCCCAATCCAGGCATCATGTCTTTTGCTTCAAAGGTAAGGAACTGCTCATCTTTCTGAACTGGAGGGAACAATCTTTTCCTCTCAGAATTCAACTTTTTTTTCCCCATTCCTTTGTATCAGCGGTCTCCAAACTTGGCAACTTTAAGACTTGTGGACCTCAACTCCCACAATTTCCTAGCCAGCATGGAGTTTGGAGATCCTTGCTTTATATCATGGAGACTTCATTGTATATCTACCTTGAACTTCCCTATTTGGGTATTCTCAACAACGATTTCTGTCTTTTAGCAACGCCATCTTTGTATGGGGAAATAGAAGAAGACTTCATTACAGTTCAGATGATCCCCGGTGTAGAAGAAGTTCCTTCTGGGGAAGAAACAACTGTGGAAATGGAGTTTGCCACTGATTCTGATAATCAAACTGAGTGGGGAACAGAAGTATTTCCAACTGACACATCACTGTTATCTGGTAAATAAGTTCCATTGGTTCAACTCCAGAATAAACTGTTGCAACTGCAACGTTTTTGAGATGTGCTTGTATAGGAAACTGTATGAGTATATATGTAACAGTAAGAACATAGTAAAACCTCATCTTAATATTTGTTTATTCAAATTTCATTTTAATGTATGCCAATTAGTGTACATTCAAAGTGACAATAAAATTACTTTACTCTACTCTTCTATTCTATTCTATTCTATTCTATTCTATTCTATTCTATTCTATTCTTCTAGTCTACTCTATTCTATTATTCTACTCTATTCTATTCTATTCTATTCTATTCTATTCTATTCTATTCTTCTAGTCTACTCTATTCTATTATTCTATTCTATTCTATTCTATTCTGTTCTGTTCTGTTCTGTTCTGTTCTGTTCTATTCTATTCTATTCTTTTAGTCTACTCTATTCTATTATTCTACTCTATTCTATTCTATTCTATTATTCTATTCTATTCTATTCTATTCTATTCTATTCTATTCTATTCTATTCAGCAACCCAACTCTAGTAGACTCTAAGTGAATTACAATTTATCAGATTTTAAATTTCATGAATGAAATCTAGATCCAGGCTATTCTCCCCTCTCCCCAAAGATAGCCAGAGATCAGATAATCTTAAAAAGTGTTTTTTGCCCATATGTAAAAAAATATTTGCATTGTTAGCATAGATCTACTGACTTTGTCTCATTAAGTCATGTACCTTATTCACTTATAACTATGTAATGATACAAATGACACACATTTATGCTATGTAACTCTAGATTTAGAGTTTAGCATGTGAGGTGAACCCAGTTCCAGGCTCCTTTTGGTGCCAGTTTTATATTTAAACTAAATGGCAAACCACTTTAGAAAAACTTTGCCAAGAAAACTGCAGGGGTTTTCTAGGCAAACTAGGTAAAGAGAGAAATTAGATAAAATTGAACAAAATTCCCTAACTATAACTTATTGATATCTGCAGCTTTCTGAAACAGGTCAAATACTTTGCCTAAAAACCTCTCTATGCTATGTTCATGCAAATTGGCAAGACAAACCAAAAAAACACAAAACATAGAGGATTGTTAACGAAATAAATACACAATATGGCCTACTTTCAGGTTATCAGATCAATAACAAAAATCCCCCAACTATTGGCATAGACTTCAGCAGAGAAAGAAAAGCCGTATCTGCATCAAGTAATGGGCATTAACACTACCGCCAAAAAGTTAAACTCTTGGAAATCTACTTGTCAAAAATAATAAGAATTTGGTTTAAAATACTTATTTACAGAGTTGGAGAAATATTATAGCAGATGTTTTCAGATGAGAAAAATTAAGCCTGGTTAGGAAGAATTGCCGCTATCAAAATGAATATTTTTACCAAGACTTAACTTGCTTTTCTGTATGATTCCAATACATATTGAAAAGGTATTAAGCAACTAGCATAAATGAATAATGAATTGCATATGCTCCAATAAAAGATCAAGGATTAAATTCAAGATGTTACAGGATTCAAAAGAGTAAAACAGATTAAAAAGAATAAGGACAGCATTCATAAGAGTTGATATTTCTGGGCTGATACCAACAGAAACACTGCAGAATACATTATTACAGTAATAAGTAATATATTAAATTTCTGGGATAAATACAAGAAAATAATAAGTCCTGATTGTTCCCCTGTTGTTTTGTTATTAACTGTTTATTTTTATGACAAGCAAAACACTGAAATTCATTCAGTGGAGAGAGAACAATCTGTTTAGATTGCAATATTTGATTACTAACAAGACAAAGATAAAATCTTTTGAGACTCTTCACAATGGTCTAGTACACTTGACTGAGTTTATCTTCATATAAATAGCATAGTACAAAAATAACTGCAGAAACAAAGGGGAAAAGAGATTCAACTGAATTTAAACATTTTATAATGTATCACTCAGAATATCTGTGTGGCCTTATTTATAAACTGATGAAGTAGGATTCAGAAACAATCTGAAGATTATACAGTAGAATTAAAAGGATCTGGAACTTATAGATCAGTAACAGAGGTGCAGCAATGAAAACTCCAATGAAAGAATATGAAATTTACTCTGAATATTACATTTAGAGAAGAATTATAAATTTCACTCTTGGTATATTACTCCAGTTTTGATCACCAAAATGGAGAAACCGTTTTCTTAGGGTATGTAATACATCCTTGCTCTGTAGCCCTATATCTGTATGCTAATATATACTTCATGTATTGCAGGATAATGTTGTTGTTTTGTTAAGAAAGGAGTTTGAAGATAGCCTAAAGCTGATCGTCTTTTTTGCATTGCTTGAGAATTCACCCTTGCGTCTCTGCTCTTTATTTCTCTTTCATGCAAGGGAGTCCACCAGCTGTGGGTCCATCAACTGTTCTTCCCACTGATACAATACCTGAGGGAACAAGTGCAGAAGCTCCAATCACAGAAATATCTGCTTCTGGCTGGACTTCTGGAGCTCCAGAGATAACTGGAACAGTCGAGCCTAGTGAAAAACCTTCAGGATTTGAAGAATTTCCCTCTGGAGTCCCTGAAACGAGTGGGCTGCCTTCTGCAGAGAGTGGGCTACCTTCAGGAGACATAAGTGGCTTGTCTTCTGGCGTTATTGAAGTCAGCACCTTACCTTCTGGAGAAGAAGAAGAACTATCAGGGATTAGCTCAGGAACCCAAGAAGAAATACCTGGGCAACAGGAAGGCAAAAGGGCCCCAGAATTTAGTGGGTTGCCTTCTGGATTTAGTGGAGACCATTCTGGTCCTGACCTCAGTGGATCACCGTCTGGAGAGTATGATTATAGTGGTCTCACATCTGGATTTCCTACCGTGTCTCTGGTGAATGCCACTTTGACGGAAGTTGTGACCACAGCAACAGAAAGGGAAATGGAAGGGAAAGGGACAGTTGGAGTCAGTGGAGATGGAGATGTATCAGGCTTCCCCTCTGCCGATTGGGATGTGAGTGGCACAACCAGTGGATTGCCCTCTGGAGTTGATGCCTATGGAACCAGTGACATCAGTGGGTTTTCTTCAGGAATTGATAGCAGTGGAGAACTATCTAGCACACCTGATACCAGTGAATTACCATCAGGACTTGATGTTAGTGGACAGTCATCTGGCCTATTAGACATCAGTGGATTGTCCTCAGGAATGGACATCAGTGGAACATCTGTTGGGCCACCTGATCTAAGTGGCTATGTGGACTTAAGTGGCCAACCTTCAGGTACTGATGGGAGTGGTGAACCTTCAGGGGTTACCTTCATTGATGTTAAATTGTTTGAAGTGACAACTCCTTCATATAAAGAAGAAGAAGGGAAAGGATCTGTAGAAATAAGTGGATTACCTTCAGGAGATGAAGATCTATCAGGCACAACACCAGGAATTTTAGATGTGAGTGGCCAGCCTTCTTCTGGACAAGTAGACTTCAGTGGATGGGCTTCAGGAGTTACTGAAGTCAGTGGACTTCCAAGTGGACAAACAGACATTAGTGGAGAAAGCTCTGGTGTTGATCTTGTCAGTGGCATTTCATCCGGAACATATGATTATAGTGGTCTCACATCAGGGTTTCCTACAGTTTCCCTTGTGGATACAACTTTGGTGGAAGTAATAACACAGCCATCTGTTGCGCAAGAATTAGGAGAAGGGACATCTGGGATATTAGAAATAAGTGGGCTTCCTTCAGGACAGGAACAAACATCAGGAGCATCTTATGATGTGACAACATCTAGTGGAGTATCATCTGAGAAGGTTGACTTCAGCGGGACCTCCTCAGGCATTCCATATTTTGGAAGAGAAACTGATGATGTAAGTGGTGCATCTTCAACCACAGCCAGTGCTAGTGGTGATGTCTCTGGAATCTCAGAAATTGTCTTAGTAACTGATTCCATAGAAACAGTGACAACCCCAACAGTTTCACAGCAACTGATTGGAGGAACAGAGGCAACATATTTCTATTTTCCTGAACCCAGTGGAGAAGCCTCCACATCTGATGCAGAAATTTCTACATATCCTGAAAGTACCATATCTTCCCCAGAATATCCTGAAATCAGTAGTAAGGCATCCACATTTCATGAAACTAGTGTAGGAACACCTTTTATTAATGAAACAAGTGATGAAACATCAGTCTCAACAAGAAGCCACCTAGAAACTTCAACCCATTATGAACCAGGTGGAGAAACATCTTCATCATCTGAAAGCTACTCAGAAACATCTAGGGTACCATTCACCAGTGGCTTTCCCTCTGGGACTTTTGATGAAAGGAGTCAGTTTAATGGAGACAGTTCCGGTCCAGCACCTCGGACAGTGTCAGATGCACCAGAGAAAGTCTTTTCGCCAGATGTCCTACTTAGTACCAGCAGTCCAGATGTTGAATTAACTGAACACTCGAGGCATCCAGCAGAGACTCAGGCTGAAACAGAGGCCAGTGCATATCCAACACCAGAGTTGGAAACAGGAGATGTTGCTGCTCCAGGGAGTCCACTACCATCACCAACAGCTACCGATCTCCTCCCATCAGAGAGGACTGATGGGATACAGCTTATTACACAAGGTAAATTCAGAAATACATGTATGCAATGGAACTTCCAATAGACACTCCGTTAAATGTTCACACTGGCTGATCTTTCCCTTATTTCTCCCATGACATAGTGACTCTTAAAAGTAGAATCTCAGGAAAGTTAATCTGACTGGTTGATTAACTAAAGATTGTGAACATTCATTTGGATAAATGTGTCCCTCTCTCGTATTGTTTAATAATGTTTTAAAGTATATTTTTATCAATTTTTAACAAACAACATCAGGTAACTGCATTAATATAAATTTATAATACCAGGGAAGGGGGGGGGGAGAAAATGCCAAAATAGACAAAATGCCAAAGAGATTTACTACAATGAGAATAGACTGGTACTGCACATTTAAAAACTTGCCAGGTACTGTATATATGAAGTATTCCAGATTATAGTCTATTGCCATTAAGATAAACCATAAAATCCATCCAAAATAGAATGAAATTATGGTTCCTGCCTCTGGTGTCTCATTCATTCAACTTTGTGATTTTTTTTTTCTAATGTAGTAATTGATTCATGTATTAATTCAGAATTCAATTGTTACATTATCTAGAGTTTTTCAAAGTGGCACAATTATCATTTTGGCTGCTAATATTAAATATATAATAAGTTATTTGTTTTAAGCTTAGGGTTTGGTCCCATAAATTAATGCAGTAGGCCTATCTCTGAGCAGCATTCAATTCTTCAATTAGTAGTTATCTCCCCAAAGATTTTATACATTTTGCTTATAGTATTTTACTTAAGGAGCCCTGGTGGCACAGTGGTTAGAATGCAGTATTGCAGGCTAATTCTGCCCCCTGTCAGGAGTTTGATCCTGACAGGCTCAAGGTTGACTCAGCCTTCCATCCTTCTGAGGTCAGTAAAATGAGGATCCAGGTTGTTGAGGGGCAGGATGCTGACTGTAAACTGCTTAGAGAGGGATGTAAAGCACTATGAAGTGGTATATAAGTCTAAGTACTATTGCTATGGCTACTTACCATAGATTTTATAATATTGGGTGGGTGAGTACTAATAGTTATTAAAAAGTTACCTCTGTTTTGATATCTTGTTATTACCTCATCTCTTTTGCCACAGCGGGGAGATAAAAGAAGTTAGACCAGGGGTAGTCAACCTTGGCTCTTTTATGACTCGTGGACTTCAACTCCCAGAATTCCTGAGCCAGCTGTGCTGGCTCAGGAATTCTGGGAGTTGAAGTCCACGAGTCATAAAATAGCCAAGGTTGACTACCCCTGAGTTAGACCATTGTAATGTCAGGGAGACTCCTAAATTCTATAACTTTCCAAATAGGAGGGAGCAAAAAATATAACTATATATCTGTCCCTTATACCAGATGTTTTTCTTTTTATTATTATTATTTATTATTATTTATTGAATTTATATCTTAAATTTGTTACCTATCTAGAAAATAAAAAGCTCAGTTTTCTCTAAAGTATTGATGAAAAATCCAGAGTTCTTTGAATCCTACTACATGGTATTCTCAGGACTTGCATATCGATCAATGAAAGCACATGGTTATACAATTATATTTGTCTCGCCCAAAACCATGAATTATTATTCCCATATGATCTCACATGTGGTAGCTGTGCAAATGCCACAAGCATTGAAAGCATTTTCTGCCCAAAGCTTTGGACCAAATACAATCCTTAATTTACTTTTACAAACCTTAAAGTCCACAGGGGCTACAAGAGCAAGTAGAGTTCACAGGTGTGGACAAACAATGCTGTCTTACTAGGCTAGGAAAGGAAGTTTGTTTCAGGAGTGTGCTAAGAGGCAAATAAAATAAAATATATAAAATAATATAAATAGAATAAAAGTGGTTTTATTTAATCAACACTGGAACTGAGCCCTTATTTGGGGGCAAGAAAGTCTGTCTATGCTGCAATAGAAAAGGTGCTTGTCTTTAAAACTAACTTTCAGCTTGATGATTTTGAAGAATAATTGAAGAAAAAAATATTTTTGGTTGCAGTTACCCCTAAGAGTTGTGAGGAGAAGCTGTGTGGAACTGGGACCTGCCACGAACAAGAAGGAAACATAACCTGTTTATGCCCACCTGGATTTATGGGTGATTACTGTGAGATAGGTGAGACTGGATTTCTTCTTGAGGATGTAATCCACTCAGTTGTGTCTGGCTCTTGGTGATTCTATGGACCAGGTCTCTCCATGTCTTCCAAACTTGTACCACTTCTTGGACTTTATCTATGCCAGGGGTCTTCAAACTTGGCCCTTTTATGACTTGTGGACTTCAACTCCCAGAATTCCTCAGCCAGGCATGCTGGCTGAGGAATTCTGGGAGTTGAAGTCCACAAGTCATAAAAGGGCCAAGTTTGAAGACCCCTGATCTATACTCTGACTGGTGTCCAGCTTTGATGGTGTCCAGCAACCCTAGCTTTCTTTTCCTACTAACTCTTCCAAACCTCATTGCTTTCTCCAGTGAATTCCCCCACATGACGTGACCATAATAAGTGAGATGCAGTTTTGTGATGTTGCCTTCCAGTGACATGTCTGTTATTATGAGCTCCAGTAGTTGCTTGTTAGTCACCTATGCTGTCCAAGGAATACACAGGAGTTTCCCCCAGCACCACGGCTCAAACAAGTCCATTTTCTTCCCATCTTGTTTTTTTTTAAGATCCAGCTTTCACAATCATCGGTTGCTACAGGGAACACAATAGAGCGAACTAACCTATTTTTGCTTGCAGGCTGATGTCCTTGCTTTTTCCATATTTCCATATTCACCCATGTTCATCATTGCCTTGCAGCCTAGTGCAATCCAATATTTCATTCCTGGGCTGCATTCACCGCTTTGAGCCATTTTCGATCCTAGTAAAGTGATATTTTTTTCCCCACACATTCTATCTCTTCCGCTGCTCGGTTTCATTACACAATAGCAGTGTGGGAAAACTGGCTGTTGCTTTGATTACTTCAGCTTCTGTTGTAGTTTTTTTTCTTTTTCTTTTTGCAATTTTTAGTGTTATAGCCATGGGGAAGGAAGAGGAGGACATATATTTAAAAAGGATATAATGGAATCCCAATAACATAATGGCTGTTTTGTTCTATGCATTTCCCGTCCATTTTAGGCTGTTGTGTTGGAGTTGGGACTAACCCTATAGAAGCACATTCACATTAGCAAAGTTCAGTATCTTGCCCTTGGTCTAACAAAGTTTGGAGTTTAACCACATCCCTCATGCAAAACATTTCTGCTTCTTTTCCAACTCTGCATTCATTGCCCTCTCTGTTGTGTTTGGTGTGCTGAGCTCATAACCCACGCCTTACCCACAAGGCTGCCTGTTTTTAATTCAAGTTATTTTTTTTTATTTGCTGATTTCTTCACTTGAATTTTCAATCATGAAACAAAGGTTCACTCAATTGCAATCACTACTAGGTAGTTCAAAAACATGTTTACTTACGCACACTGGATTAACATGGTAGGTTACAGTCCTTGACCTTTAATGAAGAAACCTTTATCCTGCAGTGGGTAAATTCAAGGTTCTCCTCCTGCTGCTGCTGATTTCTGACTTTTGTTATATTTTATTTTATTCTACTTCACTCTCCTTCGGTGACCTTACTTCTGGGAGATGGGGGGGGGGTTGCATGCTTTGGGCATGGGCCTATAAATTAATAAAGTCAATTGTTCTCTTCTTCTTATCATTGTTAACCACTGGGATGCAAAGTGGCTAAAAACATTGATCATGACAGGTTAGCTGTCGGAATGCATGTGTCAATTCCAGCTATTGATCTGATCTCAAATCCATTACATCTTCTAGAACATCTCCCAATGAAAAGCACTGTCAGAAAAGGTAAATAGGAACAGAAGTACATTTCCAGAATGTTGGCTCTGTCTTTCTTACTGAATAATTGTAAAGCTCTTGTCAATAGTAGGAATTTGAAAATGAGGTGGCAGTCTGGAGAACAGGGTTAACTTTTCCCCCAGCTGCTATACTTTCAACCTTCATCTTCCCTCCTCCACACTCGTGTTGTTATAGCATTAAGAGGAAAGCAGAATAGTAAGAATAGAGGGATTGGGGAGAATAGAGAATTGGGGAGAAGAAAGCGGAAAGAGAAACATGGGGACAAGAATGTGCTGACCTAGTACAAAGAGTAAAAGGTTGATCTCTAGAGGTAGCAGGCAACTAACACAACAAATGAAGGATAACAGGTTGGTAGGAGGAATAAAATTTCAGGTCTAACTTTGAGATATGGCAAATCTAGGATGGGATTCTGTTAAGTGATACGTTTGCTAAGTGAGTTTTGCCCCATTTTATGATTGTCTAGCCCCAGATTGAAAACATCTGTGTTTGGTGATGATTTTCCCAGGAAACAAAATTGCAGCCTCCGGTGATTATTGCTATGTCTCAGGGAAGCAGAATTTATAGAAGGGAAATGGTCCAGCCAGCTGATAAAGAAAGTAAGATCTTGTACTGCATTCAAAATTCAAGCATTAGATACCAGAAGAAAAATGTCAATATAGGCCAGAATCGTGGTCAAGAATATCCAATGGAAAGTATTTTCAGCACCCTGGACAGATCATTACGAGGAATGACTTGTGTCAATGCAGCAACAAAGCTTGTATAGAATTTCTGGTTCTGATTATATCCTCTCGTAGACTTTCCATAGTGTAAACATGGTCCCTACCTTGTGCCTTGCCAGAATTAATGAATATAAATATATATATGTTTATTTTTCTTTTCTGCAAAACATTTTCCTTATCTAGGTCACCATCTTTGTACGTTTGCAGCAAACACTAATCTGTATTTAGCCCTATTGCGGGGATAATTTCTAGATTATCAGTCTTTCAGGATCAACATTTCTAAAGCTTTTCACTCCCTCAGAAACTGAAGGACAACTCTTTCAAGGATAAAAGTACAGTTTCATTAACAAAGATAAATGAGAGCCAACTCCATTTGATAGCCTTGAATATTTTCTTCTTACAATTAAAATTGTTTCCAGGCATGTTGGTTTTGTTTTCTTGAACTAAGAAAACATCATCAGGCAACTTTTACTGTCTTTTTCATCAATCCAAAACGCAACAGAAAAGTACACTTCTAATGGACTCAAGCCTTCAGACTCACGAAACACTGATCTTACCACAATCTAACCTGATATTTTGAAGGCAATTCTCGTTTACTTGTACAAAATTCTTGGCCTATAAGGCAAATTTAGCTATCTCTCAGGATGGGCAGTCATCAATGACCATTCATTCAGTCCAGCTCTCCTGTCAAAAGGTAACAGTTGAGTCTTTTCAGGGAACTGTGCTGGGAAGTTTCAGTTGTTGGTCCTTATGCTCCGTGAGCAGAAGATAATTTATCTGTATTTGGGTTAAATTCATTTAGAATAGAGAATGGAACAGAACAGAATAGAATAATAGAAAATGGAATAGAATGGAATGGAACGGAACAGAACATTAAACTATTGGACTATTAGACTATTAGAATATTAATTAGAATATTAGAATATTCTTTATTGGCCAAGTGTGATTGGACATACAAGGTATTTGTCTCTGGTGCATAAGATGAGCTCTAAGAAAATTAGATCCCTCAATGGACCAAGCATAAGAAAGTGGTCATTATCCATATTTTTGTTACTTTTACTAATTAAGGATATCCCACTCTTCCCATAAATTAGAGTGATTGAATTCCATCTGGGCTTGACTGTCATTCTGGTGGTCATTGAAATATTATGGTAGTCAGGTAGTTACCAAGCTTTTTTTTTAATGGTTGGGAAATTCTTCCTTTCCATTTCCCTCGCATTTTCTTCCACTTACCTAGCTGCAGTTTCACTTCACCCCAATCTCCAAATGTGTCTCATTGCCTCTACAAATCCTTTAGTTCACTGCCTCCTTCTATATTCTGGTTAAATCAAGAAAACCAAGTCTCCTGTTGTGGACTTTCTGCCCAGCCAAAGTCCTAACGGCAGCCCTTGATTTCTTCCAGACATTGATGAGTGCCACTCCAGTCCCTGTCTGAATGGAGCTACTTGTGTCGATGGCAGCCACGCTTTCACATGCTTATGCCTTCCCAGCTACGGAGGGAACCGTTGCGACGTTGGTATGGCCTGCCTACCTTACTCAGCTTCAGCTAACCCTACTAACTATATCCCTTCTTTTTTTTCCTGGGGGGTTTGAGAAAAAAAGCAACCTAAAACATATACAATACTATTGTATTGCAGCCTTTTCTCATTTCATCACAACTAACTCCAATTAACCTATTTTCTCTTACAGTAGTAGCAGACTTATATACTGCCCCATAGTGCTTTACAGCCCCCTCTAAGCAGTATACAATGTCAGCCTATTGCCCCCCAACAATCTGGGTCCTCATTTTAGCAACCTGGAAGGATGGAAATCTGAGTCAACCTTGAGCCCCATCAGGATCGAACTCCTGGCTGTGGGCAGAGTTAGCCTGCAATACTGCATTCTAACCACTGCGCCCCCAGGGCTCTTATCATGATCTATCATTGGCTTCAATCGAACACATGCAGGCTTGGAAGTGAAACAGCATCAGGCCTGGTTAGGACCACCGTGGGAAGCCATCAGGAAATGCGGAGAGTTTTTCTAAACTCATAGAAAGGAAACACTTATAGCTTCTGGAGTTTTTTCCAATCCCTTCACTAGTAAAGGCCATAGAGAAGGTCTGCATTTTCTTCTTTGTAATGAATGAGCATCTTGTGTTTGTATGCTCTTTCTCTCCATGGACTAATTGGAGCATGCATTGCACCGTGTCTGTGTCTGTGTGTGTGTGTGTGTGTGTGTGTGTGTGTGTGTGTGTGTGTGTGTAAAAGAAAATTCTAATCAGATGGATGTATATATGTTGCTTCTGTTTGTATGCCATAGGTCCAATAGGGGCACAGGCATACGTTTGGGTTTCTATGGCTGCTATCCCATCTGCTCTGAATCATCTGGCTAGCATGGCGGGGACTTAGGATGGAGGAGTTGGCAGCTATTTGAGCCTCTGGCCAACTGTCTTTCCTATGAGTGGGGGAATTTGAGAATTGTTCTTTTTTTCCCCCACAGTCCTCAGCCTCGTTCCGCTTATTTCTAACTTTGATCTTTCTTTTGCCAGCTTCTTCCCCTTCCCCATAATGCATTCTGTTTTCCCAGTTATTCTGCTGCAGATGGACAGAGTCCCAAACCTGTTCCAAAATCATCACACAAGAAGGCAAACCATTTCTACATTATTGCCAGTAAATAAATAACAGGGATGTCTTTGTAAAATCACGCGGAATACAGCTTAACTTAGGACAATCTTTACCATTTGATGCTGGGGGTCTTCACTTACCAACACTGACTTTCCAATGTTGAAGGGGCAACGAAGAAGATTGGAAATTGGTCCTCAAAGGGTGCAGTCATCTCAGCATCCTTGCTGATTGTGATTCAGTCACGTGATTGCCATCGCTGACCTAGCAAAGTCAAAGGGGAAACAGGCTGAGGAATTCTGGGAGTTGAAATCCACCAATCTTAAAGTTGCCAAGGCTGGTCAGTCATGATATATAGGATGTTCCCAACATACCTGGGTCCATTTTGATGGACAGAGAGGCACACTTTCAAACATAGCAATGGAGTGCCGTCATCTACCATATTTGTTTTCTAAGAATGTCTATGTGGCCAGGATGCAAATAACCACTGCTGGAAATAAAAGATGGCCTTCCCATTTTTTATTTAGTTCAAAGGTTTGTTTAAAAAGGTTGAAGGCTGATAAGATAGGGAACCTGGCAGAGAGCAAGGGAGATGTTTGTTATCATACTGTTACCCAAAAACAATCCCCTCTAGTGTTGTGTGTACCGTATGTCTCTCTCTCTCTCTCTCTCTCTGAAGCTCTAAGATACCTGGTTGTTTGCGTTATCAATTTTTGTAAGCAAAGAAAACCTTTTAGCTAAATCTATATGCTAGTCTCCCTCAACCTCAATTACAACTGCCACTTGAAAAATCATATCCTTTGTTATAAGCAATTTTCTCTGGAAAAAAAATATGCATTTTATTCAAGTGCTTCTTCTTCTTTTGGTACCCTTCATTCCCTAAGCATCTATTTCCTTATGCATTCCTTGATCAAAGCTGTATGGCGGAGTCTGAAAGTTGGGAGAGAAAACAGAAGGATAATTGCATTCCACTTTCCCTTTCAAAATAGACCGGCTTGTATTCAAATGCAAGCCACAACAATGTATGGATGCTTCAATGCATGTTTGGCTAACAGCTTTTGGAAGCCTTCCTACAGAAAAAGGAAAGCTGAATTACAGGTAGTTCTTGACTTAAGATCACAATGGAGCCCAAATTTTCTGTTGCTAAGGGAGACCGTTGTTAAGGGAGCTTTGTCCCATATTACGACCTTTCTTAACAGTTGTTATGTGAATAGCTGCAGTTGTTCAATTAGTAACAGGGTTGTTAAGTGAATCTGGCATTTCCCCATTGACTCTGCTTGTCAGAAGGTCACAAAAAGGGGATCACATGACCCTGGGACACTGCGACCGTCATAAATATGCGTCAGCTGCCAAGCGTCTGAATTTTGATCACGTGACCAGAGGGAGGCCACAATGGTTTTAAGTGTGGAAAAGAGGTCATAAGTCTTTTTTTCCCCACTTTTTTTAATTTTGGTCAATAAACAAATTGTTGTAAGCCAAGGACTACCTGTATTCAAGCTTTTATTCTCATCGTGGTGAATTTGGAAGGGCAAAATTACCTCACGCCTCAATATGGGGAAAAGTTGTAAAGAGGCAGAGTCAAAAAAAAATACCTCCCTGTGTGTCATATGTACTTAAGAGTTATATATAAGGTCCTTCAGTTGGTCTACTAAAAAAGTAGAACATAAGGAAAGAGAAAATATGTACTTATTCTGTTCTATTTTTATGGCTGTGTTCATCTTTCATTTCTCCTCACAAAATGTTCCTATTCATTTGTCTCCCTCATAGAAAATATAGACTCATCTCTGACTAATGAGATGTTTGGAGACAAAAATCAGATACATTGAGATCTCTCCATTTATCGTTTCAGAACAAAATTAGGCTTATTTATTAAAAATAACAAGAATGCTGTATATCTCTATGCAACACAAAGTACATAAGTATGAAATAGTATATGTTAGACAGTAGGCATAATCCAGGTCCCTCAATGAAACATTGCCATCAGATGGCAGGCCTTCTCTGCCCTATAGCATAGCATGCCCGCTGATATTCAGATGGACCTGACCTTGATGGCCTTCATAAGGCCTTAAAAATCTGGGTCTTTCCTGGCATTGGGCTACGATATTAGATCAGCCCATTTTCATGGTTTAAGAGAATGACCTTAGATACATATAACAGAATAACAGAGTTGGAAGGGACAGTAGCAGTAACGATATCAGTACAACAGTTGGAAGGGATCTTGGAGATCTTCTAGTCCAACCCTCTGCTTAAGCAGGACATCCTATATCATTTTATACAACTGGTTGTCCAATGTCTTCTTAAAAACCTCCAGTGATAGAGCACCCATAATTTCTGAAGGCAAGCTGTTTCTTATTATGTTCTTACTGTTCGTTTTATGTTTTTATTACTTTGTTATGTTTATCTGTTATAGACAATCATAGATCCCACAGTCACAGTTTGCAAGTTGGGCAGTCACATAAATTGATAAAATGCATACATATACAGTATAAAAACTTTAGGTGCCCTTTTTGTGTGAGGAAATACACAGGAGGGCACAACAATGAAATCTGCAAGCACGTGGAAATGATCTTTCAAATTTCATATTCCCTCTTAAGCAAACTGTATGGATTAATTTCTCCATAACGTGTATGAAGTTGTACACAACTAAAGAATATCCTGCATGATGTTTTTTACTTATTCATAATCTGAATGTTTCCTTACAATGTAGATAGAAGCTCTAAATTTTAGATGACTGTAAAACACTTTTCCCATCCATTTTGGCAGTTCTAATAAACTCTGTCAATCTGCAGTACCCTTTACTTTAAAGTGATGGCATTCACTGGCAAAATATTAATAATCAGTAATTGTTTTTGAAGAAACAGGTAAGTTTTACCCAACTTCTATATCAAGTACCATCAAATGTTCTACAAAGAGATTTGGAAGAGTTAAATGTCCCTCTGTGCTTTGATTCTTGTTCATGTGGTTTTCCTATATCCATGTCTAGATCTGGCAGAATGTGAAACAGGCTGGACCAAATTTCAAGGTAACTGCTACAAGCATTTTGAAGAGAAACTCACCTGGATGGAGGCAGAGAAACTGTGCCGAAAACAGCAATCCCACCTGAGCAGTATCATCACACCTGAAGAGCAAGAATTTGTGAACAGTGAGTACGGCAACTTGACATTTCTTTAAAAAAAATAAAGTACCCCCCCCAAACCAATGGACTTACAACACTGATACAGAATGCAAGACGTATTCTGAATTTCATTTAGGAGAATTGAGTTGCCTTGGGTAGCTTGACTTTTCATGGCTCAGGTTTAATTGGTATATTTTAATAGACTGCACCTACAGTGCTACTATGTATTATGATCATGAGCTGTAGTGCACAAAAGTTGTGTGTTAAATCCAAAGTTGGCAATGTTTCACCTGACAGAGCCACAGGTTAATCTATCAACCTTCAAAACACCATTGGAATCCAGTTGTTGTTTTAGTTGCGAAGTCGCGTCTGACCCATCGCAACCCCATGGACAACGTTCCTCCAGGCCTTCCTGTCCTCTGCCATCTTCTGGAGTCCATTGAAGCTCACGCCTACTGCTTCAATGACTCCATCCAGCCACCTCATTCTCTGTCGTCCCCTTCTTCTCTTGCCCTCCATCTTTCCCAGCATTAGGTTCTTCTCCAGTGAGTCCTTCCTTCTCATTAGGTGGTCAAAGTATTTGAATTAGAATCCATAGAAATGTCAAATGATTTAGCCTTGATCCAACTTTATATTCCTTCCTTTACACTTCACAATCTTAGGGAAACTAAACCAGGTCAACACAACTGCCTAAAAGTCGTAAGAAACTATAAGGTTTTGTAAAAAGTCTACAAAATAGTTCGAAGAGACACTTAGGTTGTTCCTCCGTAACAGGTCCTAAGGGACAACGTTGACGAGGAACAGGTTTAGGAAAAGAACTAAATAGGGAAATAAAGGTAAAACGATTAGAAAAGTCAACATTCATATTCCATATTGTCATGTTCTGTTTCAAGTAGAAGTTTAATATTTTATTCATGTTCTAATCCACCCAAAGAATTTCAGTAAATAATTGGGTGCACTGTAAATGTGTTAAATATACTACCATTCAGGTGATATTCAATAGCGATTGTGAGACAAGCCAGACTAGATTATAGGTTCCCAAACTATGATTTGTAAATTGCTGCCAGTCTCTGCTACTTTTCTGGAGTGAGGTGTTTAGGATTTTTCTAAATCTGAGTATTGTATGTCCTTTGAATATCCAAGCAACTTGAAATTATATAAGTTATTAATTTTATTTGGACATGGAAAATTGAAGCATGTACATCTTCGGGGGGGGGGAATCATAAATTCATCATTAATAACAAATCTGCATTCATTCCATCAATTTTTACCCTGCTTTTTTCCCTCTGTTTGAATGTTGATTATTGAATTCATATATTTTTGCTTTAAAACTAAAAACTGCCTTTGACAGATCTCTAAAATAGCCATAATACTTGGATCTGTTCATTTTACATTAACACTGATCAAGCAGCAAAACGTGCGTTTTAGAGCTTGTTTTTTAATTTTTTTAAAAAAAATGTCATACAAACTTGATAATAAGATGGGAGGCTATGAAATCTCTAATATAAAGGGAATACATAAACCATATAAGTCTAGTTAAAAAGGAAAAATTCACAATTAAAAAGTAGATTAGATTTAGAGTAATCAATAATTTCTAGTTAAAGTATAACAAAAAAAAGGTTCCCAAAAATAGATGCAATTACAAAAAAAAAAAAAAATAGCTAGTAAAAACATAATGAAATATGGCAGAAAAAGTTAGAATATCTGCATTTGACCTTGCAGTTTATTTATTTTTTAATAAAATGGTCCTGGTTATTAGGTACTTTAATACACCTTTGGGCTACAGCCCATGACTGATACCGTAGGAGGATGTGTCTTTTTTTCTATAAAAAAACACATATCAGTTAAAGAGGCCTTTCATTTCTTGGAAATGAAAAATGGACCATTTTAGAAAACTATTTGATATGGATGTAATGGTGTACTAGGGGTCTGTCAGTCACTCACAGTGTAATTTGGATTTTCAAATGGATTCAAAGACTTGACTTGATCTAATTCAGGCTTCTGAAATAATTTGGAACAAGTACTTCTCTCCAGATGCAAAAGGCCCCCGAATTGCTGATTAACATCCAAATCAATTCAGAGGTGTCCAATTTGAGGCTTCAGATCAATTCATATTCCAATTGACTAGCTGCATTTCTAAACTGAAGGCTCGTGTGGACCCATGGTTTACAGCTCACAAGAGCATCTAGAAGCTTCTATCTGAATGTTCAGCACCCACCCATCCCATAAAAGTCAGCTTGGTATCCATGTGAAACTGAATCATTTGATCCCTGTTCCCAATCTATGGTGCTCATTACTCATCTGTTCAAATTCTTGCCAGTGCTGAACTGTAAAATGAAAATCTGGTTTGAACAAACCAGGGTTGACCATCTTTGATTTTGCTGGGGGAAGGAGAAAATCAATCTTTTACATGGATCCAAGGCAACATTTTAATACCGATAGAAAAAATAAATATGAAACTATTTTAAGAAAATGCAGCAACAATCATATTTGCACAATATTGGGAAAAAGAAGAAACACCATCAGAGGAAGAAATAATTAAAAAAATATTAGAATGTGAGGAAATGGACAGACTCGCTATGAGGTTGAAAGAAAAAGAAGAAACAGAATACTATCAGACTTGGGACTTGTTTTATCAATGGCTGGAGAGAGAAAAATAAAGGATTAGGAATTAAATTTGCATTAATGAATGATAAACTCAGACAACACGTTGTTGAATAAGCACTACTGAACTGTATGGGAAAAATTAATAAAAATTTTACCAAAAAAAAAAAAAAAGAAAGAAAATGAGTAATGACTGAAGTCAGCCATAATTGGTATACCACAGTTTTATCGCTGGGCAAGTCATTGTTCTTTAGACATAAGAAGAGAAGGAAGTCATTATTTTAAGAAAGAAATCTTATTTGGTCCTATTTACCTCAGGAAATAATACACAATTATCCCCACTTGTTATCTCGCCGTAATCCTTGAGGGAGGCTTTCCTGAGAGGGCAGCCATTTTAAGCTTGTGAGTTTCTGAAATGACTGGAGGTTTTTTTTCTGCAGTAGCTGGCAGACAAGAAAAGTAAGGTCAAATCTAGTTAGTATCTGGTCAGAAGAAAAATCAAACCAACCCATGTTTAGGTTAGAAGAAAGGAAATGGCCAACTACTTCTTGATGGCTGCCAAAAAAACTCTACGCATGTCTCCAGGAAGGGATGGTTTGAGCCTGAAGGAGTCCCTGACTTCTTCCAAAATTATTCCACCTTGCTTCTTTTTGGTTTTTTGTTCTGAAAAATAAATAGGTCCTGAAAGTAGGATCCAATTGTGTATCCTGGTAATAAACATTCAGTTTGACTCTTCTCCCCACCCAAAAAGATCATTGCCCCTTGTGTATGAATAATAAAACCACTCCCATCGCTGCTGATAGCAACAGGTTATCATTAATTAATTTCTAGGGCATGGAAGAATTTTTAAGGGTACGTGAAGACCGAATCACTCCAGTCCGCTGTATTTTCTAAAATTAAACCAGACCAAATACCTCATTATTACTTACTGAATGAAAGAAAAAAACTGTTCCTCATTTAATGTGATCATTACTTAAGCTGGAGCTGTGCAGTGCTTTGGATTCAAAAGCAAGAAAATGCTTCACATGCCACAGCATCTCTCGGTAAATCCTTAAACCATGTATGTCTCTTCCAGGGATCCTGGCGCAACACAGATGTGCAGTGCTGGGGAAAGATGCAGCTGCTTTAAAGAACTGTTGGCAGTCTGGCTGTTCCAAACGACCTTTTTGCATTGAATTTGAAGTGCTCCATAATTTAGTTTGAATCTTGCTCTTAAGCTCAAAGTTCAGAGAGTCATCCTCTGCTTCCAAATAAACCAGCATTCATTGTTCATTTCTCTGTCTCTGTGTGTTATCTAGGCAATGCACAGAACTACCAGTGGATTGGACTAAGTGACCGAGCAGTGGAAGATGACTTTCGCTGGTCTGATGGACATTCTCTTGTAAGTTAGATTCTGGACGATATCAAATATATAGATATTTCTGGACTGTTGGGAAATCAGTGCTTCCAAGATCCAAGAATCCTACAGGACAACTACTTGGGCAGTGCCCATAGGAGAAACACTACACGTACAGGAGGAAGTATGGGAAGCAGTTATGGACACAAATCATCCTTCTTACTCTACAACTATATTACTCAAGTCCCCAGATATTCCTAGAGCAACCCAAAGTCTTAGAATTTCCAGAACCCACCAAATAATCATTTTTAACGTTACAGGAGGGGAATGATTAAAAATACAGGGAGTAATCTTACTCATGGTGTCTTTCCATTTTGACTAATACTGAGAGGGCGACCCAATTAAATCCATATTGGTCTTGGCTCCATCCTTAATCTTAGAAATGCCCCCTTTAGAATGTAGCCCTCAGAAGCCGAGATACTCTGTCATCCAAAAACAGGTTGGGCATCTGTAAGGCAGGATGGATTATGTGTTTTCCTTAATTAAAATTCCTTCCTTCCTCAAAGGTGCTTGTGATTCATAATGGAAAATGAAGGTTTGATGGGAAAAGTACAATCTTACCTAGGAAGCAGATGATGAGCCTCAAATTCCAGCATTATAGAGCAAGACCTCTTTATAGGAAAGCTGCAACTGCTTCTCACTTTAAAAATATGGAAAACTGTGAAAGATCTGATGACTTTGTCCCTCCTCCCTTCATCTGACTCTCTGTTTTACCCCAGATCTCTTTCTCTCTTTCTTTAGCAATATGAGAACTGGCGACCTAACCAGCCCGATAACTTTTTTGACAAAGACGAAGACTGTGTAGTAATGATCTGGCATGAGAAGGGGGAATGGAATGATGTCCCTTGCAATTACCACCTGCCCTTCACTTGCAAAAAAGGAACAGGTGAGGCTCAGTGTCCTGCCCAAAAGCACTCACAGCCCAATCAAGCAGTCCAAGATCATGACTGCAAAAGGCTTACATCTCAGCCGTCAAGATCCAGAAGGTAGAGTAGTAAGCCACTGTCGGGACTCAGCAATGATTAAGGGTGGCCAGGCAGTGAGGCAAGACTTGAGGAAAGACATGTCAGATCCAAGGACAGGCTGTCCCACCAGCTGAAAAATGAAATATTGAAAGCTATTGGCCCTGTTCCAAGTGCAACACATGCTAATCATAACCAGTGGTAGCAAACAGGCTTCTTGGAAGCAGTGATTCACGCTAAGGAAACTGCTACATTCATGAGGCTTTTCCAGGTGACATGTCTTCATTTGGACATGTATATGCATGGTTCAGGTACAATCCTCTGCACCTCTTTAAGCCTGTTTAGTGCCTTGCGTGACCTTTGTTCTTCTTTCTGGGATGACAGCTTGAGAATATCATAATAGATGTCTCGTGGAGATCATAAAGTCTTTACTTGTATATCCAACAATGCTTCCATGCCACATTGGACTATGACACTATGGGGGATTTAAGCATAAACACTTGCTGCAGTACTACTAGTCCTCAGGCAAGTGTTTCCCCAAGTCTCTCTCAAGCCATTCCTGATGTCCTTCACATATTATTTGTAGTATCTAAGGAGCTTCTTAATGTCTCCTATAACAAAGTTACATTGCTCTTACCACTGACTCAATTCCCACTAGAGTATCTTATCACTTCAAAGTTGCCCTGATATTTTGGTATACAGCTAAATATTGTCCTGTTTACATTCAGGTAGCAAGATTAGATCAAAAACCAGCACAATGCTCTTGTGGTAAGATCAGTGGGCCAAACTATAATCCAAAAACAAGTCCAGAAGTTGAAACATAAACATGAAAAATTAATCATTCTCAGGATTAAGCAGCCAGGTGTTATCCAGTCGAAGTAAAATTCAGAGGTTCCAGGAAACTAAGGATGGTCTAGAGTCCAGATACAAGGTCATATTGATACTCAACGTTTTCAAGCCCTTGACTGTGTTTAGATGTTCTGGTGCCTTCTGGTGATCAGAAATTATAACTACGGTAGCAGCTAGGAGCATCCTGTTGGCTGAATGCTGCTTTGAGCAGAAAGCAATTTGAAAAAAATGTCATTTTCTCCCCCAGTTTCCTGTGGAGACCCTCCCGCGGTTGAGAATGCCAGGCACTTTGGCAAAAAGAAAGACCGCTATGAGATCAACGCTTTGGTGCGCTACCAGTGCAATCAGGGTTACATACAGCGGCACGTGCCCATCGTCCGATGCCAATCAAATGGCCAATGGGAAGAGCCTCGGATAGCCTGTATAGACTGTACGTAAGGTTTTCTGGCGAATATTTCAGCATTTGTACCCACAGCCCTTTCCCCTATAACCAACAGAGGGAGGGCATGGCGGCTCAAACGGAAATTTACAATAATGTATACATGATGTTATATTGATGCCTTTAATTGTCTGGGTTTGCATTCCCACGGTTTATAAACCAAACTGGTTAGTTCTGACTACGTAGCTGGTATGCAAAAACTATATTAAGTATTTCTGGATTTTAGAGGGGGAGGAAGGGGAGGGGGTAAGGTTTGGGTAGAATTTGCCTGGGGTGACTAAGTGAAGTAGACAACTAGGAAGGGAAAAAAATAAAGTAGAAGGAGAGACGTTTTTTTCTCTTGATAGAATTAGAACTGCTTCTCTCTATCCTGTTCACACTTTTTTCTATCAACCACCTACTCATTTGTAATGTTCTTTTAATTAGGAGGGAAATCCCTGAAAGACTTTCCACAAATGAGATTTAAACCTGCTTTCAATTAAGACAATGCCTGCACTGCTGCAGAAGCGTCCCTGGTGTCCTGTGTTT